ACAGAAGAGAAGCATGAAGATGTGTCTAGTAGTTCCCATTGATTTAGCTTGGAAAGCGGGGAGAATGGCGCTAGGCTTACCGCACCGTGACGTCACTGCTGGAAGATGGCAGGAGGGAGGGGTTACTATATTTGGGGGAAAATGGCCGCTCCCAGACTCAGTGATCGCCATGAAAATCTTTCCTTGCTCACTGGACTTTTTTTCTTTAATATTTTTAATAAAAAACATTTTTTTTCTAACACTGGCACACATTCTTCCATGCATATTTTCTGACCTGTGGATCTCCGCTGTAGAGGCTGGACATGACTTCAGAATCGGTGCATTCAAACTTCTCACACACCTCCCTGACGGCGTCCTCGTCCAGGACGGTGGCGTCATACGACGGGTCCTCTGGGAACAGGTAGCCTGGCAGGTCCTGCTTAAACCAATCATGCTCCCTGTTGGAACACAGAAAGGTCACAGATGTGCCGCTGGAAACAATTAAAAAAAGATTTGGAAGAAGGAACTTTTTATTTAATTGAATTTTTATATTACAGTGCAAAGCAAGTGATTTTGATAAAATTAATATTATTTATTGTAACCATCTTAATCTCCAAAGTAAACAAATCAAATAATAAAGTGTTAAAAATAAATAGACAGCACCCAATGAAAAATAAATAAAAGCAAACACATAAAAAAAGAAAAAAAAAACTTAACACTAACGTCATTTTCCTATTCAAGTTCCTATATATATTCCACTCCCTTTCCTCTGACATATAATAATAACAATAATTCAACTTTATTGAGCTCTGATTTACCTCTGCATTTAACCCCTCCCCTCAGGGATCAGTGGGCTGCCATTGTGCGGCGCCTGGGAAGCAGTCTGGGGTTAGGGGTCTTGCTCAGGGACCCATAGGGGCAGGATGGGGGATCGAACCGGGAATTTGGAACCTTCTCAGAGCGCAAGTTTGAGCTTCAAAAGGAGGCTGTTTAAGATATTTACAGCAGTAATAAATGTATAATTAGTTATTTTGTAGGAAAAACAAATCGATGGGCTGCTGTATTCAACCACTAGTTAGGATAATATTTCTGATCAAACTTTGATTTGATGGATACGATGGGATTTTCCCACGTTAATAATAGCACTTTTGACAATTAAATACTAAAATGGAGGCCAGATTAGTCTAGAACAGAAAATATAAGCATCGTCTGGGAAAGTGTTGCTTGCTTCAGATTAGAAAGAAATAAAGAGACAGGAGGAAAGATTACCGTCTCCAGAGGAAAGAGCTCAGCGATGAGGATAAACCCGGATTAGAGGTGGTAAAGGTTTTCCTCCCTCAGGGAGAAAGGACCACTGGCAGGCATGAATGCCGGATTAGCCGTCATTGAGAGGTGTGCATTCATCTAACGTTCAGAGGCGTCTACCTAAAGGTGGTCGTTTTCACGTGTCAAAATGTCATGTCTGTCTGTTCCCTTTGACTACCAGAAGGCTAAAACCAACAATATGCAGAATGGGTTTAAGGGGCTGAAGCGCCATTTTCTGCTTTGGCCCCCAACTGGGACCAAACCAGCTTTGCAACAAATCCTTTGGGCCCTGTGGATTGAGGAAAACTCAAAGCAGCTAACCAGCTGATAAAATGCAGTGCCTCTAACCTGATGTCTTTGATGGTGGCTCTTTTCAGTGGATCCACCTGCAGCATGAGCATGAGCAGCGAGGCCACGGAGCGGGTCAGGTACTCGGGGATGTAGAAAACTCCTCCTCTGATCTTCTTGAACAGGGTGGGGACGTGCTCATCATCAAAGGGCAGAGTGCCGCACAGCAGGGCGTACAGGATCACTCCACAGCTCCAGATGTCAACCTCTGGGCCTGCATACAGCCTGAAAGAGACCAGACAGGGATTCACAGCTCAGTGACACAAACACTGCAAAACACTCCGAAATGATGATGGGTTTGGTCTATAATAAAGATGGACTCAACCTTGAAATTTATGCTGGTTGAGATTCTAAGTCATCCAGGTCAGAGTCATTACAAAAAAGTTAAAAATCAATCCACTGGACTTTGTTTCCAAGTTTGCAGACGTTTCTCTTCCCATCCAGGAAGTTTTTACAATTCAAAATCGCAGAAATAGCATTGAGTTCATCCATCCATCCATTTTCCATCACGTTTATCCCAAGCAGGGTCACGAGGGGTGCTGGTGTCTATCTCCAGCTGTCTACGGGCGAGAGGCGGAGTCCACCCTGGACAGGTTGTCAGTCCATCGCAGGGCAGCGTTGAGTTCAAAAACCTACAATTCAGCAATTGAGTGGATTCCTTCCCGCTATCACCCCATTACAATGGACCAGAGCACCTCGCCTATTCAGCCAGGACAGCAATTCCCTCTAACGACCCCCCTTTCAGAGACATAGACAGGTATGGGGCATTACAGGCTAACAAAGAAACAAAACGACCCCCATTTCTAAGGGGTGGACCCGTTTGTCAGGTTTAATTTGCATTTTTTCTAAACCAAAGCAAGGCTTTGTTGGTCCACTTTCTAAAGCCTGGAACTCAACTCTATTTCTGACATTTTGAATTGATAAAGCTTCCTGGATGGGAAGCAAAACCCCATCAAACTTAGCAACAAAGTCCAGTGGATTGTTTTTTTTTTTTACTTTTTTGGAACCTTGAACTAGTTTACATACAGTTGGTGATAATCTTGAAAAAAATGAGTCATTCTAGCGTCCTAGCAGTGCCAGTTGCAAAGGCATAAAAACACAAACGTGTCCCGACACCACTAACCAGCCGGATGTTAAAGGGCATAACTCTGCTGACTCAGTCATAAGCCTTTTACAGGTTTTACCCACATCACCATCAACTAGGGGTGAGTGTTGGCATGTTGCAATAAGATATGTGTCACAATACGATATTACCACAATATAACAATATCACTATATATTTTTGGTAGATAAAAAAGCAAGTGCTGTTTATGTTCACCAGAAGCCTTTAGGTTGGTTTATGCTCAGAAACAAGGACCTCTGTGTGTGTGTGTGTGGCCATGTCTTTAATACCTGGTGGGGACAATTTCCTAGGAATATGCTACATTTTGGGGACTCATAGGTACTTGTGGGGACCAGTTGTTGGTCAGTTTCTCTTCTTGGGGTGGGGGTTAGGTTTAGGACTAAGGTGTGAGTTGAGTTTAGGTTAACTTTAGGGATAGGTATGTGTCGGTAATGGTTATGGTTAGGGCAAGGGTCACGGTTAGGCCATATAAATTAGTGGGAAATGAATGGAAGTCAATGGAAGGTCCCCACAAGGATATTGTGACACAACATGTGTGTGTGTGTCGCTGTTAGCGCAGATATGAACCCCCCCCCCCTTCCGCAAACACTCTGTTGCACCTCTCCAAAATTGTAGGTGACCACAGACAATGACGCAGACAGGAGGCCTCTGATTGGTCAAATCTCCATCTACTCTACTCTATGCATATTTCATGTTTGGTTCCTAACCAGCTTGTTTTGTTTGTCTGGCCACCATTGTGGAAAACGATTGGTGAAGATGGAGCAGCTAGAAGAGCGAGGTGCGCAAGAACGCTGGGACCCTTTTTCCACCTGGATCCCCGCTCTTTTTGGCCCTCATGTCCCCCAACTTCCTCACCGCCTCGGCCGTATCTAGACCCACAGCTAGTTCCTGATTGGTCCTCTGGCGTCGTGGCGTGGAATAACATAGCGCAGACCACGCTTCAATTTTGGGCATAAATTAAAAATGTCTGAGACAAGCTCACAGCGACACACTGCTGCAGGAGGAGAACCAGACCTTTAGGCTTAAACAACTTTTTTTTCCAGTAAACAAAATGAAACTGGTGAAAATGGTTTGAAAATGAAAATGGTTTCGTACAGCTCGCAGCAGTGATCAAATATAAACATTGTGAGAAAAAAAAACTGGTGCAAAAAATAAATAAATAAGACACGCATTGACGCATTGATATATGGTCAGTTTGATGCAGAGACTGAGATTTACAGTCTTTTCTTCGTTTTATGTATTATACACTGCCTGGCCAAAAAAAAAGTCCCCCCCCCCAAATAAAAGGTCACTCTAATACTTTGTTGGACCGCCTTTAGCTTTGATTACGGCACGCATTCACTGTGGCATTGTCTCGATAAGCTTCTGCAATGTCAAAAGATTTATTTCCATCCAGTGTTGCATTAATTTTTCACCAAGATCTTGCATTGATGATGGTAGAGTCTGACCGCTGCGCTAAGCCCTCTCTAGCACATCCCAATGATTCCCAATGGGGTTGAGGTCTGGACTCTGTGGGGGCCAATCCATGTGTGAAAATGATGAGTCATGCTCCCTGAACCAGTCTTTGACCATTGAGCCCGATGAATCCTGGCATTGTCATCTTGGAATATGCCATCAGGGAAAGTCCATTGATGGAATAACCTGGTCATTCAGTATATTCAGGTAGTCAGTTGACCTCATTCTTTGAGCACCATCCTGTTGCTGAACCTAGACCTGAGCAACTGCAGCAACCCCAGATCATAACCCCGCCCCCACAGGCTTGTACAGTAGGCACTAGGCATGGTGGGGGCATCACTTCACCTGCCTCTCTTCTTATCCTGATTGGCCCATCACTCTGGAACAATCTGGACTAATCAGACCACATGACCTTCTTCCATTGCTCCACAGTCCAATCTTTATGCTCCATAGCAAATTGAAGCCTTTTTTTCACTGATTAGTGGTTTTCTTAGGGCTACACAGCTGTTCAGTCCCAATCCCTTCAGTTCCCTTCACATTGTGCGTGTGGAAATGCTCTTACTTTCAGTATTAAACAGCCCTGAGTTCTACTGTTGTTTTTCTTCCATTTGATCTCACCGCACGTTTAAGTGATCGCCGATCACCATCATGCAGGATTTTTTTCCGGCCACATTTCTTCCTTGAAGATGATGGGTCCCCACTATCCTTCCAGTTTTTAATAATGCGTTTGACAGTTCTTAACCCAAGTTTAGTAGTTTCTGCAATCTCTTTAGATGTTTTCTCTGTTTGATGCATGCCAATGATTTGACCCTTCTCAGACAGACTAACGTCTTTTCCACGACCACGGCATGTGTCTTTCCACATGGTTGTTTAGGAAATGAGAAGTTGGGGTTAAATAACTTGTTACCAGCTGAAAGATAATCGCCCATTTAGTAATTATCCAATAGGAGGCTCGTAGCTATTTGCTTAGTTGAATCCAGGTGGCGACCTTTTTTTTGGCCAGGCAGTGTAGTTTTACATTCAGAAGTTATTTTGGTATCCACGTTGTTTGGGGTTTGAGTCAGTCCACGTCTTCCACCGTTACTGCCACAACTACAGGTATGGGGATGCGCCGCACAGCGCTGTCTGCCAGAGTGGAAGAGCCCATTTTTCTTTTTCATTATAGGTGAAAATGTTTTGTTGTTTTTTTTAAATCGATATAAGGAACCTAAAGTTCGATATTATACCGGGCAGCCAATAGTCATGATAAATCACCAAATCAACGTTTTCCCCACATCCCTACCATCAACTATATCCAGACTCAGCATCCTTGCTGATGAAGGGCATTATGCTGCCGCACCGTGTTTCATTATGCAATGTGTGTGTCCAGGTAGATTCGGAGTGTAACGTAGCTTTTGCACCTAAACAAAGAAGTTCGGCTTCTAGTCTCCACCGGTGGGAGCTCCTTCTGCAACATTGTTCCCTACTTTCATTGTTGGTCAAAGTTAAACAGAATCCCTTCAGGGTTTTCTCTGCAGCCTCTCCATAGTTACCACTGATGTCTTGGCTGTTATTCTCATTTAAGCTCTCATTATCTGTGTTATCCATTTGATTTGCATTTTTTTTATTTAAGATGGACTAAACATGCTTTGTTAGATGTCTTTAAGTTTGGTATAGAATACTTTTACCAGTCTGTATTCCTTGGCCTTTGTGAGTTTTTTTTTTTCTAATTAATCCCTGAAGCGTTCATAGAACGGCTGCTAATAACCAAAGGTTTATGAGATACTGGGAATGTATTGAGTCACTCTTTAAAGGTGCTTAGAAGAATCGAATCTTAAGGGTTTTAAAATGTTTTTAAATAATTTTTCCTCCCATTTATTAGTTCTTTTTTTTGTAAATCATTTATATTTAATATTAATGTGATTAGTTAAAGGACTCAGTCCAGGAAATTAACCTTGTAACTTACTTAATTGGCTGAAATTAACTGGACTTAAAGTATAAAATAAAAACAATCCAAATGCTGATCTGTGTTTACTGAGAGCTTTTAAAGCAGCGTCCTGAATATATCAAAATCAAGCCACGCCAAAGACATACTGTGATAAGGGTGTCCTTCAGGAGGCCAGGAAAACTAGAAAAATAAGAAATCTGCCAGTAGAATTCAATAAATCACTGCTTCTTATATGTATGAAGACATGACGAGCAATTAGAGTGAAAGGTTTTAAGTTTAATAATAATCAGAATCAGTCATTGGTTATGAATCCAAACACACCTTCCTGAGATGACCTCTGGAGCTGCGTAGTTGGGTGATCCGCAGCTCGTTCGTAAGAATTCTCCGTCTGACATCATGTTTGAAAGTCCTGTAAGGCAATCACAAGGCAAGCACACATTAACGTCCGTCTCTATTTACTGTAACACAAAATAAGCAAAGATCAAATTGTTGCCTCTGATCCTTTGATACAAACAGAATAAACTGAATGTTGCCATAAGGTGGCAATATTACCTCTCCTAGAGTCTAAACACAGAGCTGCTCTGATTGGATGAGCCTCCCTCTGTGATCACCCCCCCCCTCGCTCCCTCTGATCACCGCGTCTTCTAGCCTGGAGCCAAAACACTCCTCCCGCTGCAGAGACACCCCCCACCCCCCTTCTGCCACACCCCTGCCGATTCCTTCCCTATCAGATGACACTGGGCCTCAAGGCTTCCTGCCAGACTTGATATGAGACCTGGCCGTTGCTAAGGGCCGTCTCACCCCCCCCCCACACACACACACACACACCCGCTGTGTTCAAGGGCCCTCGCCTGTTCCAGAAAATATTTCCCTCTCTCATGGTCATATTGCGTTAAATCTTCTGTCGTCAACCCAAAAAAAATGAATCCTCTACCTCACAGGTCTCTACTGAGGTCTATTCCTATTAGCTCACTCGTAAATAAATTTATCAGTTCCAAACTACAACATTAAAATGCGGGATTTAATCACACAGATACTAAAAGATGCACATTTTTATGGGATCTTACCAAAGTCAGCAATCTTGGCGTTCTTGTTGGCATCAAGCAAAACGTTTTCCGGTTTGAGGTCTCTGTGGACCACCATGTGCCGGTGACAGTAGTCCACAGCAGAGATAATCTGCTGGAAAAGACGGCGACCCTCTGAGTCCTCCACCTGAGAGAAACGATGTAATGACTTAAAACCTTTCATATCATCGACTTTAACTTGCTCTTTTCATCTAAGGTTGTTTTTTGTTTTTTTATGAATGGTCACAGAGATGATTTTGTGGCTTTATTCTAACTACAGTGGATTCATTTATGAACAGACTAAAGGTGTTACCATGTAAATATACTCAAAGCTGTATCCTTTGATTGGTGGCCACTGGGGGGCAGCACAAACAACATGATATCACCTTGCTACAGTCGTAGGCTAACCTGACTCCGCCAGATGGATATGCGGAGCAAATCCATCTGGAAACCTTCCGTTGAAGTAATTTTGGGAAGGGGCGAAAATACTGGTTAGCTGATTGGCCTATGTTGGTGATAGACGGGCCAAATAAGCCAATCAGATCAACGAAGCATATGAC